TATCATAGACGAGAGATGGTAAAAGAGCGATGGCAATTATCCTATGATTACTGTTGAACTTCGTGTCGAAAATTTCAACGACTATTAAATCGACCGAAAAACAGCTGATGTCCAATTGTACTGGTTTGGAAGATCTTTTCACCTGAAGACTAAACGCGCGAAAGTCCAATATAAAACCCATTAAATTGAAGCTTTCAGAGTATTGTGCTTTATATATATTATTTTTATAGTCTACTGCATACACACAAGGTCAAAAGTCCTCAGGAACTGAATTACGTAACGATAAATAACATACATTAGATACTTGTTATTCTTTAACTGTTTTACAAACAGCTTGTCGAATAGACCTTTGGTCTAAAAATAAAATCCCTACGTAAGATCTCACTTAAGTTTCGTAAATAGTGTACGGGCGAGGATTGAGGTATATTATCGTTTCAAACTTCAAACTTCTACTGCTGAGTTCTGTGTTATAGCGGATATCGGCGTTTCATAAGAAGTTGAAGAAAATCGTTGCAGAAAATTCCTCGAGTCCGACTTCAAGTCCTAAGTATGGGTCTCCAGTTTCGGAAAAAGATATTGAATCACGATCATTGAAAATTAATGAATAAACTTAGGAAATAAATGTGCAAACTATTGTAACTTTTCACTCAAAGTTATTAAATAATCTTTAAATTCTTCATTCATACTGCTGATAATTCTAGAAAATATTGTACAAAAATACTCTTGTCTATAAATAAAAGAAGAAAGGCAAACTTTACGATAAACGTCGCATTCGTAAAGACTTCTACATTGATGCACATGTTTTCGTTCGTCGATGTATTCGAACAAACTCTTCATCTAAATCCACTTTAACACTTAATTTCGAAAGATCATTTTCTGCTACCTAGGAACTATCAATATGTTATTGGCCATGATTATTTCAAACAATAAAAGATTATATATAATCATGCGTCGAGTGCTTAAAATATAACATCAGTCGTCAAAAGCCAACTGGATATTTAAAATCAATTCAACCATCAGATAAAATATTTCAGATTATTCACATGGGCTACGGGGAACTAGTAAGGACAGAATGCAATGCAACAACGTATTCTACATCAACAACAATTATTCAAACAGCGGTATAATCAAACTCCAAAGGCTTAATCCACAATACCAATAATTTAGTATCGGTGAAAATTTTAGCTTTACGTTTAAAGTTAGATGAACAATATTATGAACCTTCTGCAATTGTTTCTGCACAACATTCAACATACTTCATTGAAACTCCCAATACTTAACAATATCAATAAGTTCATGTTAGTCAATTGAAACCTGTTCGAGGATGAGTCCAAAGTTGCATCCAGTATTTGTAAAATCCCATAACAGTGGCAGCATTCTGATTAAACAAAAAAAGAAACAAAATATCATTACCATTTTGACGATATAATGTATGATAAATCGCAATGATGGTTGCAGCACCTTGATTATATCAATACCACATAAACAAAATTCATAATAGACAGAACTTGCTATACTTTTAATTGCGCTAAGTTTCATTTTTTTGCGGAGGGGAGACGGTGTTATGTAAGGATTATAAATCATTCCACAAGTACAATTCTTCTTATACATGTCGCATCTTGTTGGAGACATACGACATATATTAAGAACATTCTAGATATTCTTTTCTAGGTTCCCCCAGTCTTAGTTAGTTCTAGTTCTGGATTATTTCCTACTTTTAAAACTGTATATAAGGACTTATTTTCTCAGTGTATATCATCAGTAGTTTTTTAAAATTACATTTGAAATAAAGATAGGAAAAGATAATGCTAATTACTTTTTTATCGTAACAGCGTACGTACATGTATTTAATTTCTGAGTATTCGTGCGTACGCGTACTCAGACGATAAGTATGTATACGTACACATGGATCCCAAAAATGTACGTATAAGTACATGTTGCTCACAAATGTGCGAACGTGTGCATATATTGAGAAAGACAATTCCGTACGTACGGTCTACAATGTAATTTTTAGAAAACTATAGAGACTTTGCAGACTAGATTAATATAAATAGGATGCTTTTTTTAAAAAACTTCAAACTTTTTTACCAACCCGCTTCGGTAATATAACTGCAGCTAGAATCTCTCAGTACTTTTTGAACCATACGTGTTTTTGTACCATCTGTCTTCTATTTCAAACCTTGCATTGATAAGCGAATGCCTAACTTCATATCATGCGTATCTCCAACAACCATGAGCGAAACTGAGTGTTTAATAACCCACCCATCTGTTGTATGAAACCCAGCCCGGATTCCTCCAGTTTAAAATTTTTCTAAAAAAACTCTTTGAATTTTGAAAATATATTCAAGCTTCGTAGAAAAGTTTGCAAACTTTAGAAAAATAAATAAAAATAGGTATCGTACAAAAATATTTCTAGCCTCTGTCTGGAACCAATCTCTGGTCTTTGGTCATCGCACGAACAGTTTTTCTACTATTTTCTGCAAGACTTATCCACTAGTTTCTTTATTTCGATCTTAGACCCATGCACTTAAGAAACGTACTTGTGATCTTTTGCAGCAGTATACTGTGACAATTTCGACATTGCTAAACTCATTGTTGTAGCTAATTTCATATCATCGTCATGGAAATTAAATATGGTTCACCCGTCATCTGGCTGCATTCTTTACAAACATTTGGATGACATTCTCTAGAATAAATTTGTCCATGTTGAAAATTATAAGAGCTTCATCGATATCAAGTGACCGTCCAGTGACACAAAAACAAGATGATCTTTATTGATTATTGGAACACTGATCAAAGTTCGAGGATTATCACTAGGATCTATCCTCACCGTCGTTTCTTTTATTAATTGTGATGTGAAATTTCTGCTCATGCCATCAACTGCTTTTGGATTAATATTCATACTAATACCACCAAACACTTGTATATGATTATTTTGTACACTATTATCATGCGTAAATGAAAAAGAAAGTACGTCTTTTTGAAAATTTGAATTTTTGATCGTGCATAAAATTGATAGATTACATTCATATCTATTGATATATGTGGTCGTCCTTAAAGAAGGTTAGCAAATTAAAAATGATTTTTCGCCTCTTACTTCAAGTTCGATGTAGTCCAACATTTTATTACCTTCCGACAGTGGGTTGTGCGCTCCACAGATGTATTAGCCAGATGCTAATTTTTCCTTCAAAACTCCAGTCTGTCTTTCTCCCTTCTACGGGGCATCTAGACAAAAAACATCTTTCAACCTTTTTAGCGTAATCTGTATTGTTTTGCAAGTTCGTAATGAACGAGAGAAAAACAGTCCTACACTAAGCAAAAAGATTCCTGCTCTCCAGTAGAGATGAGCGAGATCAGTCCGAAGTCATTCTAGCGGGTGCACTGGATTTGAATAGCCAAAGATCAGAACCAAGTTTTTCAAACGTAGTCTTTTCAACTTCTTTCTTTTCTCTATTAGGGCTCTCTCGATATGCTTGTGCATTCGGAGTGTAGGGTTCGTCAAAATTATATTGCAGGTTAAAATGTCTACGTTGGTTTAAGATATCATCTCCTGCGGTCGTCATGTCGCTTCATAGTTTAGTGTCGTCACGCTTTCGGGAATCAGTTCAGAAAACAAAGAGCAGGCGGTCTTATAATCCGTGAATAATCAAATCACAATACACAATACACAGGACACAATGATACTTCAATAATTTCGTCCTACACCAGAAGTACTAATAAGAGTTATTACAACTCTCGGCGTTGGAGTCGCAAAAGATAAGAATGTAATAACTAGCCAAATGTAAGATTATAAGAGTCGATAATGAGAGATAATAAGTAATCCAGCACCCCATCCCATCCTCACCATGGCCAATATGGCCAACCAGAAAACCGTTGTAGCCCAATATAAGTGAGACCTAGACACTTGTTTCTAAATCAGTACTCGACACTGATTTAGAAAAAATATTATTACAATTTTCTGTCTTGCAATACACATAAGATAAGTCGAATTTATGACAGAGCTCCGTTTTTCCGGTTTTTGAAGTCTTCACAGCTTTTCTCAATTTTCTCTGTGTAGAAAAGGTTTTTGGGGGCTGCGAAGGTGATATCTGAGATCAGTTCGATGCGGTGAATCAGAATATGTATAACAAAAGTAAACGAAATTGCACTGCAAATTTTGAATTGGCTGAACCTTAACACCTCTAGTGTGGAATGTGGTTGTGCAATTCAGGTAATCTCTTCGTTCGTTCTCCGCAAGCAGAAACGGTGAATTCCGCGAAGGAAGAAACCAGTGACGGCATGACAGTAACGCAACACGCTACCATTTTGAATACAGAAAGGGAAAATTGTTTTTTTCTTTGGTCGCACCTTACTGTTCTATCAACTGTTTTTTTATGATGTCTATATTATTCTTGTAACAAACGTTTAAATTTTTATTTTAATGTTATTATAGATTGAAAAACAAATTTTTCGCATAATTTCTCCAGTGTTTTTTCCCTTTCTGTATCTAAAATGGTTACATGTTGCGTTGCTGTCATGCCGTCACTGATTTCTTCCTTCGCTGAATTTATCGTTTCTGCTTGCAGAGAACGAACGAAGAGGTTGCCTGAATTGCACAACCACATTCATACTACGAGTGTTACTGTAGTTTTATTGTTTATATATATATAATGCATAAATATAAATTCGTCATTTATATTTAAAACATAAAAATAATTAAATGTTGGAAAAATTTATCTTTATTTTATAAAACTAAACGATTCATTTATATTTATTTCTTTATTTCTACATTTAAAGGTAGATATATAAATGAATCATTTACTGTTATAAGATAAAGATAAATTTTTTTATCATTTATTTATATTTACTTTTTAAATATAAATGATTCATTTAGATTTATTTTCTAAAGTTACACTAAATTAACACCTCAAATTCACACCATGAAGCCAGAACAAGACAATAGCTGAACCGCTAGATCACTGACATTGCCACGATTCATTTGAACATTGCAGGTCGGACTGATGGCCGACAAGAGTGAACCATTGATCGAGCGCGTCGAAAAACTCGGAGATGGTGGCTTTGGCGTCGTTTATATAGGTATGTATCGAGGACAACAGGAAGTGGCTATTAAAGTTATCAAAGGAAGGCTATCGGATGAAGCGCAAGCCGAAGCAAACGTTCTCAAACGGCTGAACCATCGGAATATCATCCGGTACATTGATATAATCCGAAGTCGAGACGAAACGTCACTTATCATGGAGTTTGTCGATGGCGGCAGTCTGTGTGATTACATAAGGAGAACCGCTCAGTCGTCATCATACTGGCGAGCGACTCGACAGATGATGATCGATGTTGCGTATGGCATGTCCTATTTACATGACCTAAACATTGTCCATGCTGACTTAAAGAGCGACAATATTCTGCTACGGCATAACTATGGTGCAGTCATATGCGACTTCGGTCTTGCAAAGACAATTGTTGATTCCAGAACGGCGACTACGTGTACAGTTTCAGGTACGAGCGGGTGGGCTATAAAAGTACACAAAAATTCGTTTTAAGTTTAGTAGACAGCAAGCATTGCTCTGCAAAATCGTTCGAGTTAAAAAAAGCATATCAACAGTTATTTCACGATAACCTTTCGTAGTTCAGTACTGCGGCGAACAGCAACAGGTCGGTCGCAGCAATGTCAATCTGATTAATCAACGGTTTTTTGGGTTGGTTCTCTCCTCTCAATTCATCTAGCTGCATAATTCGCACTCAACTGAATAATCAAGGTGATTGAGATCAGGACTAGGAATGATGTATGACTAGTATCAAGTAGTGGTAACGGTCATCTGTTTTGTGGATCTGTTTTTCTTTTGGTATATTTCCGAAAGTGTGCCGACGATGTTCCAAAATTCTACAGTCATCTAAACCCCGTTCTTGCAATTCCAATGCAACGTGCTGTACGCCTTCACTTTGTATGAGTTTCTGAATATATAAAAAGTGTAACAAATAGTATCTGTTAACTGAGTTCAAAGTGAAATGTCTAAACGGTGAAGCAATCTTTCCAAAAAATTACAAGTGATCCACCCTTTATAATTCATTAGCTGATTTGTTGTTTGTAGGAACGGATGCCTGGCTAGCACCAGAACTTTGTCTTGATCGACCCGAGAGAAGTTCATTTCCATCTGATGTGTGGGCCTTTGGTTGCATCTTACTTGAAGTCATTTCTAAGAAAACTCCATGGAAAGATCAATACCAAAACGACAGAGTTCTCCTGAATGCATTGGCCAAGCCGGAGAATGCAATTATCTTTGAAAACATCTGCCCTACCCAGAGGGCTCCAAAGAAACTGCGCACAATTCTGTGTCGCTGCTGTGCCTGGCAGAAGGCTGTCCGACCCAAATTTTCTACCATAACTAGTGATCTCTCTTCTATATCCGAAGCGGATCTTCTGAACATCAATTGCGGACAAGAGAAATCGTTGCTATCGGGGTCGTCAAATCTACAGCCCTCGACTGTTATTACTGGACGCCCGACCATCACTTCGTCGTCATCAGCACCGAAAGCTTATACCAATGATCTTGATAATGTTGAAAAGTCATTAGCACAAATCAAATTAAAAAGTTTAAAGGCACAACGCTTGAGTTCAGCAAGTCGTCAAACGGGTGAAACGGAAGGCCGTTCTGCCAATGAAGACCGGATTGTGACTTACGACAAAGACAATGCTCGTTGCATTTACGAAGGACCACGCGGTGGACTCTACTACTTTAACTCGAGTGGTAGAAAGGTGTACACAAAACACGACTTCAAATAAATGAACATTGTCTGTATTTTGTGACTGTGTTTTGGAATGACGATTCCACAATCTCGAAGCTTAGCAAAGGAACCAGACGTCGAGGTCTTATATTACTTCCATTTCAGTTCGTTTATCCAAACTTGAGCTAAATCTTACATGAGCGACTGAACACTCTTGTACAACAATTAAGCGCAATGGCTCAAGCAGCAAGAGTATGCGAAGAATATGTTCTCATAAGACCTCTGTTGCATCGGCGCATAGATGCACTCCTCTTTATCTCATTTGAGAACTGTTCGGGTCTCAAGAAGTCCGACGTAGATACAATACGACGAACAAACGTTCTTTGAACTATTAACTTCTGCACGATCATATTAAGTTAATTTTTTCGTAGACAAGTGTTCAGCACTCTTGTCGTACGAAGTATCTTGTGCTCTATCAGTGCTTTGCTGAACTGATTCTGATCAGGTCTAATTGCTTCTAACTAATTGATCCTACTGCTGCTGTGTTGACAGATGACTGAGTAGTAGTTTGGGGGTCTGTTCTTAGTGACATAAGAACAATGTTTTTATGACAAATGCCATCTAAGCCGGTTCCTTGAACGTATATTGGGGGAAAAGCTCGAATTCGAACTTGTCGCGCCAATTTGAAGACCAAGAGACTTAGAGCCAATCTGGTATCAAATAGCTCTAACTAATTGTTTATCTTCGCCCTTACTTGTTCTCCTGTTGAAAACTGAACAGGTTTTTCAGTTTGTGCAAAGCGAAGGGAATGCCAGATCAACAGACTCACACCTGGTATTCTTTCCAAATAAAGAGTTTGTAGAAAAGTAGCAGAAGTTCTGGACCTTGGCAATGGACGTATATGGTTTTTTCGCGGTTATCAGAAACTGAATCTTAATAATGACCCTTTTTTTCGAAATGAATAAAGCGCGCACACAAATGTACTGGCTTTAGTTCGGCTTAACAATGGAAAGAGTCAACCCCGTGCCCTAGGGCATTGATACTTACTCAGACAGACTTCCTACAAGTGTAATGTTTTTTATTTGAAAAAAAAGTAGAAAAGAAAGAGGATTATAAATTTTCTTGATTATAAATGCAGTTCATCTATCAAGTACGCGATTGAATGCTATATAGATTGTATATCTAATTTTATATTTTGCATAATACTTCTTTTCATTATCGTTTGAGAGATATCTTTTGTAAATAAGCATCAACTATAAAAAAGGGCACTGCAAATGCAAACTATGATCATTACAAACAAGACAAAATTTCTGCGCTTGAATAATTTTCAAACGCTAACAAAGCATTCCTTGACGACATAACACTGCTGGAATATTTCGTTCACTTTTCTGACCACAATTACCATTTTTACGACATCGACTTGGATTTTTACGACATTCCTACTGGTTATACATTGTACAACTTCACAACTGCAATAATCACATAGATTACTTCCCCAATACCAATTTTGATGCAGTACAACCATATTGAACATAACAATCATCGTGTACATCACAACAAGCTCCTTTTGATCCACAACAAACAACAACAAGTTCCTTGAGTTCTACACTGAGAAACTTCGCATCCTCATAAATATATTAGATCGATGGGATTTTTCCCTTCAATATGCAGTGTCCAAAAAACTAAGTATAAATGTATGAAAAGGATAGAAGTCTAACACAGGTTACCTTTTTGCTATTGTTGTTAGATTCTTGTTTGGCAATGGCCGTTTAAGGTCGAAATATCACAAAAGAATCAATATGATTATAAATTACAAAACAGCTGCAATTACAATCGCTTATATCTTGTTGTACTCTTGTGGATTTCTGTTTTTGTACTCTTTTTGTTGATCAATCTAAATGTGTTTTCTCCGGTAGGACTTACTTTCACGTCGTAATTGTAGCTGTATTGAAATTTTTAATCATATTTCTTCTTTTGTGATATTTCGACCTTAAACGGTCATTCTCAAACAAGAATCTAACAATAATAGCAAAAAAGTAACCTGTGTTAGACTTCTATCCTTTTTCATACACACATGACGAAGAGACCAGAAAATTTTATTATATAAAATATGACTTCATACTAAGCGGGATATAGCGGACTCCTGGACTCCGTGGACTGTATTGTACTCCATGGACTCCAATGGACTCGTAAAGTCTAGAAGTTCGTAGAAGTGTTGCTGTTGTATAAAAACTTATTACTATGTATCAACAATTAATACAACATCTCTAATAACATTGTCCATAGTTCCTTTATTATGACTCGTTTGCTTCGAATCTTGCAAAGCTTTTAAATTTATCTTTCTCAATATATATTTTTGATCATAACTAATAAACAAACAATAAACTATAGCATAGTTTCACGAATATAAAATAAAATAAAAATATATGAATATAATTGAAATAAACAAAATTGTATAAATAAATTACTAGTTTGTAATTTACCATTTTTTTTTATTAATTTTATTTACATGATAAACCTTCAATAATATTATTATTATCTGTTAAATTTAATATATAATCAACATCTGGTTTTAATTCAAGTTCATCAAAACTTAAATTTTCTTTATTATCTCTTGCCCATTTTTTTATTGAATTTAATATAAATTCTTTATGATCATCTATTGTTATTAATATTGGTGTTGTAATTGAGGTTGTTGTTATTGTTAATGATGCTGAATCGATTGTTGTTGTTATACTTTTGTTTTTTATCTTTTTTCTTCTTCTTCTGTTTTTGATAGTAATAATTCTTTTAAATATTTAAAACCACTTTTAATACCAGCTTTAACAATAACTGTATCATCTTTTAATCGAAATTATATTATTTTTCTTAAATTCTCTAATTCTTGTGAATCAATATCCAGTTCTAATACACCACAAATATCATCAGTTAGTAAAAATGATGGTACATTATTAATTGCTTGCATTTTCAATAAGTCAGCATCTGTTTCACCTAATATTACAACATAATATTACTAAATACAACAATCCAGGCTTGAAATCAGCATGGATTGTTGTATTTGTATGTCGTCTATGATGGTCATGGTTGATAAATAAAACATTTACAAATCAATCATCAGCACAATCAGTTGCATCAGCAAGAATAACAAAATCAACAAAGTAAAAAAATAGCAAAAATATATATTTAATAATTAAAACAGCATATTTATCGGTTGAATTGAATGCACATAATTTATTATATTTAATATTATAAGCTAAAGAAAAACAGTTACCAAAAGGATCATTAAATATTTATTTGTTCAATTCACAATCGTGTGAAGGTATGGTTCGGAATACACGATCATTAAGTGGTGCTTATTCAAGAATAATAAATTTCACAATTCATGATTTTCTTCGACGAGCTGAAAAATTATCATTATTATAAACCTGACAATGATTTATTAACAATATCAAATTTAGACGATATTGCTCAATTAGATATAGAACAAATTATATTCATATCATACATCAATTAAATTAATTGAACGTCTACATATAATAACATTATTAAAAAAACATCGTGTTTATGAATTAGGGCAATTAAGTAACTTTATATTTAATAAATTAAATTCCAAATTAAAACTACGTGATAATTCATCACCAACACCAATAAATAATGACGATGATGACAGCACTGATTCAAGATCTAATGATTCTGAATTAAATGATGACGATGATAATGATGTTGACAATGATAGCAATAGTGATGAAGATAACAGTTATATATCGGATGATGATGATGGTGAAAATATCCAATCTTTTAATAAATTTTATAAAAACTTAAGAAATTTTGCAGTTGTCAATTTTGGTGCTTTCCGTGGCTATTGAAAATAAAGGGAAAATCACAACTTTTCAATAATACTGGCAGATGTTAGTTAATGAACCATTATGTTGACTGAACTGAGCAAAATTATCCAAAGAATGCAAAGGATCGTTACCTAATACGGTTGATCCTCTAGCATTGCCATATTACTGGAAGTAAGAAAGGTGGATAGTTCGTCGCAAAATACATTCACTTTTATTTTGATGCTGCTATCAACCAGTCCCATTCATATCTTTAAAATAAAAGAGTTCTTTTTAGACAAATCTAATTTTGTTTGAAGTAGCATGTTCAATTAATTACAAAAAAGAATACATTCTTCTCTATTAACATACAGAGTAAATTAAGTACAACTGACGAGGGAACCGCCTGAGGTGCTAAAAATCTTTTTGAGTGGGACTATTTTTAAAATGTAGATCCTCATGGACTATGAAGAATCCCAACTTGGTTCGTGCGCAATCAGCTTTGTTGCTGAGATATCGA